TAATTTAATATATCTCCTCAACGAATAAGGGTGTTTTAACCATTTTATAGGATTCATTATACACTTTTAGATACAATATACAGGGTGTTCCTTAATGATATGCGAATATTTAAGGGTGTGAATCTAAATGAAAAATTAATGTTAGTTTGCTTTATGGTCCAAAAATGTTTCCTTACAAAAACTCGGAGTGCTAAAGTTTTAGGAAAAAAATTTAAATTAATTAATATTTTCAGAACCGCTTCAGATATTTCACTGATATTTAGTACTTAGTAAAAGTTAATAAAGTTGCACATTTTTCAATGCAAAAATAATTTTTAGCTTTAACAGTGGCGTGCAAACGGGTATTGACTTCGAAATTTTTTAACAAAAAAATGGTACGCCAATGGTTTATTGCCAAATACAAACTATTTTTGAATTCTCTGTTCAATTTAAAACAAATGATCTATCTTGAATTGTTTTCCTTCGATGCGTCATTTTTGAGTAAAAAAATAAAAACCGTTCTATTGTGCGAGAAAATTAATGTATTAATTGAAGAATGCAATTTAGCAATAAATATCTAGTTGCTCTGGAATATGTCACTGGCTTTTGACATCCGACAAGTCTCTGTTAATCAAATCTGTTCGCTGTGACGTCTTTTTCATTATTTAGTTTTTACAATCTTGTTAATAATAATGAATTATTCAAATGCAGAAATGGCGGAAATGCATTACGTATATGGCCTTGCCGACGGTAATGGTGAGCAGGCCAGACGGATTTATCACCAGAGATATCCCGATCGTGCTTTGCCAGATAGTCGAACCTTTTCTAATATTTATCGTCGTCTTGTTGAAACTGGTTCTGTCCGAAAAGGAACATCTGAAGGTAGACCTCTAAGTGCTACACGAAGTCGATGAACATCCTGAACCGAGTAAGAGGAAGATCGCTAGACACTTAAATATTTGACATCAAATTGTTTGGAGAATTTTAGTGGATTTTTGTTATATCATTACCATATTTTAAGAGTACAGGCAATACTTTCCGTTGATTTTCCAAGGCATGTGATCTTTTGTCAGTGGTATCTTCAAAAAATTACACAAAATCCGCAATTTGAATCAATGATTCTGTTCACGGACGAAGCTAATCTTGCTCAAAATGCCATTCAGAATTTCCACAATAATCATTTGTGGGCAGAGGAAAATCCCTGTGCCGTAACCGAAACCTATTTCGAATACCAATTTTCGGTTAACGTATGGGCAGGAATTATTGGCAACCACTTTATTGGCCTGAATTACCTCAATTTTCTTCAACAGCACTTGCCTTTGCTGCTTGATGATGTTTCGTTAGTAATAAGAAACAATATGGGGTACATGCATGACGGTGCGCCAGCGCATTTCAGTGCAGCAGTTCGTAATTATTTACAAACTGTTTATCCAAATCGTTGGATTGGCCGCGATGGTCTCCAAGAATGGCCACCAAGGTCCCCAGACCTCAACAGTTTAGATTTCTTTTTGTGAGGCTATCTTAAGATACTAGTGTAGATAAATTAAGAGAAAGAATAGTTGCAGCTTGTGATAGAATAAAAAACACTCCAGGGATATTTCAACGAGTGCGCAACTCCATGAGAAGGAGGGCGGAAGCATGCATACTAAGTGAAGGGGGTCATTTTCAACAATTTTTGTAATAATTTCGTTGGTTTTAATGTTATGTTCATGTTGTCAGTTGCTGTTGTTCATTACCCCTAATGTGTTGAATTTTTCCGATTAAATTAATAATAATTTTGCAAGTTAGACAATAGGACGGTTATTATTTTTTTTTACTCAAAAATGGCGCATCGAAGGAAAACAATTCAAGACAGATGATTTGTTTTAAATTGAACGGGAAATTCAAAAATAGTTATTATTTGGCAAAAAACCATTGTAGTACCATTTTTTTTATCGAAGTCAATACTCGTACGCACGCCACTGTTAAAGCTAAAAATTACTTTCGCATTGAAGAATATGCACTTTATTAACTTTCACTACGTGCTAAATATCAGTGAAATATCTGAAGCGTTTCTGAAAATATTATTTTTTTTTCCTAAAACTTCCGAACTTTTGTTATGAAACATTTTTGGACCATAGTTTATAAAGCAAACTAACATTAATTTTTCATGTCGACTCACACCCTTAAACATTCGCATATCATTAAGGAACACTATGTATAAAATCATATTGTTGTATTTGGGGTTTTTTAATGAATCCAAAAAAACGCTGACGCATCCACACAGCGCCATCTAGCGGCCATCAGCTGAACTAATTTGACAAAATTGTGCATTCATTAGGAGTGGGGGTGAATACCATCTCAAACGAAATCAATTTTATGGGCCTGTTTGAATCACTTGATCCATTTGATTTTTTGTTATATACGACAAAAAACATTTTTTCGAGATGAGGATGTAATCCAGCGTTGCGTGGAAAGTGCTGAGTCAACCTACTTCACGCTATTTTCCAATGACCGTCTGTTTGTGACAGCTATGGACTTCTTAACCTGATTATATGATTCTTAATAATCAGAATCGGTTCAGGGCCAATGCAAGAGCCCTTGGCCCCCATGCTTCCACCTGTGACATGGTAGATAGATCTGCAATAATTTCCAACGCCTGCGAAAAATGATGTTCAATGACATTGGAACGTTCATATACCATCTTGATTATGCCACTTAACTGCAAATGTTCCTTGGATGCATATGCAATGATCAATAATTACACCTTTATTCAAAGAAACGTCACGCAATGCAGTCTATACAGTGAGATAACTAAAGACATAAATGGCGTTCCAAATAAGCGAGGATGCAGTTAGCATTCTAGACCGTCACATCAGTCGTGAGATTGTCTTTTGGATGCTATTCGTCAACAAGTACCTAGCCTTAACAGTACAGTCAACAAAATTTAATGATAAAGCTCAATAAACAACATATTTTCAATCTGATTTTGCTAAGATTAGTGTTTTCAAGGACGTAAAAAGGTACATACTCTCAATAATTAGAACCCTATGTGACATCAACTCACAACGAATGACTAAGACTCAGGTTTATGAAAGATCTTACTGAATTGAAGGTTTTTCCTCTAATATATATCGGATGCTTCAAATTCAACTCTTACCAGTGAGATGTCTGAAACTGTAAGAGGTACGAAATCGCTCAAACGGGGAATAAGTTGCGCATTTTCGTAATGAAGAAAATGACACTTCCGAGTATCTCCGGAAAGAGACATAAGAAACTGAATTTTCCCAAAATTGTTTTTTAGTTTTCCCAGACTTGGGAGATGGGATTGCAAAATAAAAAGCGCATTAACATTGCCACTTCTACTAGTCTACAAAGGGGCATAATTAGAATTTCAATATGACAGTTTGTCTCTTGTCCATAATTAGCTTTTTTCTTATGGACGCTATATTGGATTTTGGCGCAAGAGAATAGAATTTTTAATTCGGAAATCAAAAATATATAGGTACGTCATATATTGACTTCGCCAAAGCATTATTTCCCTACTAAGCTTTGAAATTATTTTCAGCCAAACATTCCCTCAGTTTTTAGTTTTTATGTATTAGGATTACGTGAACGTCTAAAAATGGAATCTCCTTTTAGTTGGTCTTAGCTCATCGAATAAAGAACCACATAATGCTGACAATGTTAATGTGCTTTTTATTTTGAAATCCCATCTCAAATAGAGTCAAGAAAAAATAAAACCGATTTTGCGTCCCTTTCAGAAAATACTTGAAATTTCGGAACTTTCTAAGTGGCATTTTGGTTACCTGAAAATGCAACCTTGCCCGCATTTAAGCAATTTTAATCGCTTATGTTTCCGAAATCCCAATGGTGAGTGTCGAATTTGGAATACTTGGTATATCCTGTATTACATGCTACAAAATATACAGAAAAGTTTTTAGATAGTTCTTTAAAACAGACACAGAATTTTAAGTTTCTGAATTTTTTTAAATTGCAACTTATTCTTGCTTACCATTCAATAAACAATGATAGTAGTAACTAGTGAACTAGACTAACATATATATCAGGTCTGGTTGTACCGTTTTTCGATCATTCCTTTGCTAACTGGCCTTGGAATATGTTGAAAGTAAACGCGTGGAAATGGAAAGGTCGCAATTCTTCAGCTTAGATATGTGTTAAGGGAAGTTTACACTAGCATGTAGCGCTTGCGTAAGTTTTATTTGCATTCAACTTGCAAATGTAAACACTAAAATGCTCGAAAGTGTAACTTGCAATGCGCACTTGCCTGCATTTGTTGCTTTCTCAAATAAATTCTGTTTTGACAGAATTTACTTGCGTAACTAAAAACTTTGGCGAAAGCTCCACTTGCGCGCTAGCTGTATTTTCCTATGTGAACCTTTTGCTTGCAAACAACTACTAGTTGTTAACAAGTGACGGGAGTGTTTGGACATTTTAATAAGGAATGTTGTACAGAAATTATTTGTTTTTACTTTTGCCCTTTGGTATAACCCCCTGAAGTTGGGCTGTTTATTTACGAGAGATCTTGTGAATAACAAGAACGATCTCTTTCCTGAACAAATTCCTGCAGTGCTTCAAATATGGTAGCACAGACACCAGGAAGAAATTTTGAAATAGTGCATTTTGGTACTCTAGAAAAATACTGTAGGGAAGCAAAGGAATCTCCTGCAGCCAAATATGTTAACGTAATTTCTAACATTTTGCTGGTTTGGATAACCTCATTTTTGTATGGTTTTTCTGGATGCACTTCTTCACATGATCTAGCAACATGACTTCGTTTTCTCCTCTTCATTTTTGATAGTAACTCGTTTGCTTCTTCCGAATACTCATCACATAGAACTCTGACTGCAACTCTCACTACAGCCCGTACGACTTCTAACATATTTTATAATCCGCCATTCCGCACCAGATGAAGAACTGTACTGACCAAACTTTAAGCAGGTTTCCATTGCAAAAGTAGGTGTGTAGAGTAAATCTTAGCTTGAATGTAAGTACAGTTTGCATCAACTTGCATAACCTACTTACGCAAGCGGTATATGCTAGTGTAAACTGCCCTTTACCTGGCAACGTTACTGGTAAATAGTCAACCTAAAATTATATGTGCAAATACTAAACATGCTGTAAATTAAAGTGTATAATAAATATAATAATGGTGGTGTTAGAGTCGGTGTAATTTACTCTCATTTTGAGACAGCCAATAAATGGTATAATTATTATTCCTGCATCATATAATGTAAGTCATGTCTGCTTACCTTGGCTGCCCGTTTAGAAGAATCAGAAGCAGTCCTTACCTGAAACAAACAATAAATTAATACACAAATGCACACTTACAAACAAACGGAAATATACCATTTTTTCAAAAAGTTACAGATTTTTATCGAAGCTTCTTAATGCAAAACAGTTGCTTGGAAATTATTGCCGAAAATACTCTTTATATCTGGACTTCATGAGAAATTGATTTCTTGCAAACCATATGAGCAGAGAGGCACTCCAATTTGTGCTACGCACCAGGGCTATCTAGCGTGATTTATCCTCCACGAAAAAAAAAAAAGAATTTATCTCTAAATATACCAGAACCCAACGACACTCTACTATACACACGTACAATACGCCCTTTCAAAATAAATCAACAATAGTATCTCTTTAAATGGTGTCCTTTCACGTCCTTTTACACAATTTCGAAACAGCGAACAATTATTCCTCTCGACGTATTGTTTTCGAAGCTGCTGCAGCAACTGCGGCAAGTATCGCAGCTTATGAACGAAGCTGCAATTGCGGCGGGCCGGAAGTAGGGACATGATATACGGATTACCAATAACAGAGTCACTCTCTGGTCAGACTGGTTCTTTTCGTTTCCAAAGTCAAACGCAAAAAAAGCAAAAACAAAATTTGTTTTTTTGGATACTATTGACATTTATATCACTATAAACCATGTCACTTCTCCATTTCTGTCTGTATGTCGATCCGCTAAGTCTGGCCCCGCTATAACTGTCCAAGTCCGTCTGTCTGTCGGTCTGTCTGTCTTTCTGTTTGTCCGCTAATCCTTGGTCCGTCTATAACCGTTCGGACTTTCATGATATTTTCGCACAAGGTTACTTTGAAGGACGAAAAAGTTTTGTATTTTTTTAAAACCGATCCTGAGGCTAAAGGCAAAAAGCTAAAAAAAATCCAAAATTTTTCAAACTTCGTTTTTTGACCTACAAAAGGCTTCTAATCATTTTCAGAAAAAAGTCTGTAGGTGTTGAAAGATGAGAGTTTGGGACTGAAAATCGGTCCAGTGGTAGCGGAGTTGGGACAGCAAACTATAAAAGATAAATCGCTCAAACTTGAGGCTTTTTGACGTTTAAGAGACTCCTGCTCATTTTTGAGTAAATTTTTGATGGATAAAAAATTGTACAGTGGGGAAAAACTATTATAACCAACCTATTTCATACTTTTTGGCAGCTCATCACCATGATGCATGAGCTGTATGTGGTGCCTTATTTTGTAGACTGAGGGCTTTGGGGGTGGGGCAGGCTTTAACTTTGTTTTTAGCGCTGGTATATTTTTAAACCCTTAACCCCGGTAATTCGTACTGACATTTAGTGCTAATTCATAGAACTCTTCTGAAATATACCATTTAGATCCTGAAAAACTCTATATAGCATTTCTGCGGGATCTTGATGGAATATTTTTTATGTTATTGGCCTCAATGCGTGTAAACGTATTACTACCTTGATGGAATTACCCATTGGAGAATTAAAAAGCAAAAAAAACGTCGTTATTAGCCAGCTACAGAGGGTGTAAAAATAAAGTCAAAAAATCTAAAAAATCTGTTGCTGGTGTCGACGACATTTAATTCTGCGTCCATCACCATCGAGCACGCGAACTGTATTGAGAATCTTGCGGGTGTGGACCCAAAGCAGTTCTCGCCGACATATTCGCTGAGATCCTTGCCGAGATTCTCGCGTGAGTGTGGAGCGGCTTCAACACGTTGAGTAGTCCAAACACGGAAGGTTCTTTCACAAGTTATTTTACTTTTTGAAGTCTGTACACCTGGTAGGAAATACCTCGAAATGGAAGCCTCGACACAACAAATTTCATCAGCACCATCTAATAAACAAACAATGATATCTACGTCCATAGCCGACCGAGAATTGTGTTTTTCTATTTTCAGCAAACAGGAAAACACACGTTTCAAACGAAGGGATGTGTTTGCAGTTTCTATTCGTACACAATTCAATTTCGACACATAAACCTTCCTGTGTTTATATAGCTGTTTGAGATGGATTTTGTACCACCTCAGGATATGTGCTTCTCACGTTAAACGACAAATCAGGTATTGTGCTTTCCAAAAACTTTGAGACAGCAGGGGAGATTTAGGGGGTGTCCTTCTAGACGTCAAAGTCGGCGATCTTTTTAAGAGAATGGCATATACTTAGTTTAAAAATTACCTTGCTAGACTTGAATAGTGAGACGTGCAACCTCCCCCCTCTAATTATCTTCTATGAATAACAGCAATGTGGACATAAGTATATCTTGGAAACCTGAGAAGCAATGTATGGGAATCACCAAGTCATTATTTTGGCTACCACTTCTTACTTTATTACAAAAAATTAGTCTTTTTGATAGACAGTCCCTTAAACGTATGCCAAAGCTGCATGTACCTTAAGCCTCGTCTCCCCTAAGTCGAATTCCGTCCGGGGGTGCCAAGTATCAACTCTAACAACCTGCATTACGAATGTTTAGCAAGTTAGTGGTGTAAAAAGAGTTTACGAAATCTCATTTCAGCCTGTGGGAATACAGGGTGATTCACAGGTCGTGACCAAAAATGAAAGATCATACACAGGCTCGCATTTTAAGGGGGGTCTTCTACGTAACTTTTTTTCCTCGAGATACGAGGTGTTGAAGTTTAAAAATAAACAACAATTTCCTTTAATATCTTTAAAACCATCAACTGGAATGAATTAAAATTTGAAATATGGATTTACCTAAGTATTGCCAACTTTTAAAGGTCTTTACTAATTAACGTGCAGCAGTGGCGGAGATACAGGGGATTAGTGGCATTATTTATCCATATAAAAATAGTACGCATCTTCAATTTGCTACAAATAGTTACTCTTGTGTTTTTCCTAGAGCGCACTGTTTCCGTAAAAATTAAAATAAAACATAACAGATCATTCATGCAGAGCCAAGATACAATTAGTTTCAAAATAATATAGGAGCCCTTGATACCAGCTTGACGTTTCTTGGGAGATAGTTTGTCCAAGTTATGTGTTCCGGGCATCTTTTCTACTACCATTTCAAAAGTTCCTTTCCTCCAATTCTGCGTGTTGTGAAATGGAACTTGTCTTTTTGATGAAGCCCTTGAGCTAAAAATGTTACATAGACGACCCCCTTCAAAATGCGGTTCTGCGTATGATGTTTCATTTTTGGTCACGACCTGTGGATCACCCTATATATGGGAAGCACCGCATCAACATATTTGACTTCTCACGACTTCCAACCTTATTTAAAAAAAACGCGTCTCTCTGACAGTCAGTCCCTAAACTTATTCCGAAGAAGCATGTACGCTGACATCGAGCCTCTCCCCTTAATCGAATTTCGAGGGGTGTCACTCCCTGAGAGGTTTCGCAGCATCGCGCGGGATGCAAATGAAATTTACCGAACGACGTTGCAAAGAAAAATGAATTTTCGCTTTTCACTGCACCGTCGAATGTGTGCGTCCCTTCTCAGTGAGAGGGCTAATTTATTTTATTTCAAGGTAGATCGTACTGAGTGCCGTATTATTAAGTTTCTGTGTCGATTTTATTAAAAGGAACATTTGGCAAGAATGCGTTAGTAAACCATTTTTGGACTAAACCAAATCACAGACGTAAATTTGCTTGTTTTGAGTACCTGCGATAGATTGCTTACATTCAGTCTTACAAAAACGTTGCAGCTTTATCTAGTTTTTCTTCTAGTGTGTTAAAGAAAACGTATTTGGAATTTGTACAGTGAGAGCTGTTTTAAATCTTGCATTATCTATTTATAAAAAAGTATACCTGCTCAACAGATAATGCTTCAGTTATAGAGCTGTAAAAAACTAAATGATTAAATAATAATAAAATAAAAGTGGAAATTTACAGAATGCAACATATAATAATAATCTTTATTTGGAAATACACTAACTGATTGGCGAAGTTTAGCTTTCGCTACTCTTCCACTTAAACAATCAGCGATTGGTAACACAATACAGAAATGTATGTACTATCTTAAGGAAAATCAAGAATTACAATACATCATAAAATATAGAAATGATAAGATTAAGTGTGTAGTGAAATTATAAACAGTTTAATTAATATATGGAATGTAGACAAAGAATATGACTTCTACCGTTCAGGTATTGGATTATACCCGATAGCTACATTATATGAAAAACTTTGCTTAAATAATGTTGTTTTGTGTAGTGGAACTCGTATTTAACATAATGTAGAGTAATTTGTACTGACTTAACAAAGAAAACTTAAAATAAGTGTTAAACATTTTTATTACAAGGAATTCACTCTACTGACAAAATTAATCTCTTTTAGTATCTAATACAAAAAGAAAAAACGTCAATCATATCTGATATATTATCATAATTACGACAAATTTACATACACAGGTGATGACAATAATAAATTCCTACGAGGGACAGAAGAGAAATGGCAAGTCGAGCTAGCTTTGGTACCCTGAATATAATATTCTGCAAGATAAAAGAGCAAATAATTTTATTGCTGAGTAATTTGAAAATAAATTGTGAACGAACAAATTGTCTATGCTTTGACAGACTCGATAAGATAAAACGGCTTTGAAGGATATCAGCCATCTAGCTCAAGCCAAAGGTATTTGAATTTGAATTTACTCTAAATTATCCTCCAATTTCGTACCGTGCCAGGCTCAAACTTCTTATTAAAAAACCTAAACACTTGATGATAAGTTTAAGCTGTCACATTTACTTAAACTTATAAACACTTGGCGTTACATTGTTTATACGGAACAGAAATGATAGGTTAAATTAAAAAATAACCCCTGGTTTATAAATTCACTGTTTCTTATTCTGAATGTGTCACTCAAACTATAATATTGTAACCTACTAGAGTGAGATTAGGCTGAGAGCAAGCTTGAAATATTTGTTGACATTAAGGAACAATTAGATCATTTGATATTAATTCCTCAAATTTACCAAATCTACCTATAGTAATTATTCACAGTCTCGATTGTTGTCTGTACGATGGAATGAATATCAAGTCATCTGCACAGAGTGATGTAAATTAAACTAGACCCTATAAAAATAATAAAAAGCAAGGGCCCAGAATACGTCCTTCGGACACTCCCAGTGTAAGGAGCATTTATACTGGCTGGAAACGATGGTAGTGCATGAAAGATTCTCGTTTGCTTAGACATAAGATTTTAAAAAAGGTTACAAATTCTGGATAAAGAGCGCAATAATTGAATTTAGCAAGGAGAACATCATGAGCTTACCTATCAAACGCTTTAGAATAGACAACTTGACCACGGTCAGCTAACACCTCGGATGCAAATTGTGTAATCGCCATTATGGTAGATCTCACTGGTTCAGAACCAACATGCCTATAACATGAGTGAATAATATTTGAGAAACTGCAATTTCAGGCACTTTGGGACTGGCCTTTAATTTTCGATCACATTTTTGTCACCCTTTTTAAAGATGGCATCTAATAACCAATAAACGGTAACCACGCATTCATGTTAAGCTCTCAGCACCCTTTGCGTCTGTGGAAAAATGTGTTGCACCACGCTAGAAATTATTACGTCACAGCTTTTCTCAAAATCTATAGATTGAACCTGGGAGAGCCAGTTTTGACGCGTCCTCTTCAGAGTAAAAAGCAAAACTGCATCCAGAGGACAATTTCAATAATCATTTCATCAAAATAAGAATTATGGAAAATATACCATTTATTGAAACGTACTACAAAATTAGAAAAGATGAACAGGCCTGCTAGTGCTTAACACGAGGCTAAAATTAGGCGCTGGATGAAGATACCGAACAAAATGTATGTAGGGAAATAGAATCCTGATGGCTATAAATTGGCGACCCTCCTCTAACTTTTTATATGACCCTCGAGAAGAAAACATTGTATATAAAAGTTATGTGGCCTAATATGAAGTCTTTCATGTAACATTATTTTGGGAAAGTGCTCTGGAGTAAAGTTGTACTTTTGTTAAATGGAACATCCTGTATATCTACAGGGAAAAAATATATACCGCCCATTTAAAAAAGTACATCGGTATATAAAAAATATTAAATGAAAAACTTCCTGTTAGACCCTATAATTTTTATGTACCTACAACTTTTTTTCTAGAGGGTCATATAAAAAAAGGGGATCGATTCGTAGCCGGATACGGAAGTGCCAATCAGCTGTGCCAAGAAGGCAGAAGCTCTGGAAGAAATCTAAATAGACGCAAGCCAAAGAGTCGAAGTGCAAGATGTTCTATCAATACAGGCTGTTCCTTAATGATATGTGAACATTTAAGGGTGTGAATCTACGTGAAAAATTAATGTTAGTTCGCTTTATAAACTATGGTCAAAAATGTTTCCGTACAAAAATTCGGGGTGTTGAAGTTTTAGGAAAAAAATGGAAAAGAATTAATATTTTCAGAACCGCTTGAGATATTTCACTGATATTTAGTACGTAGTGAAAGTTAGTAAAGTTGCATATTTTTCAATGCAAAAGTAATTTATAGCTTTAACAGTGGCGTGCGTACGGGTATTCACTTCGATATTTTTCAAGAAAAAAATTGCACGCCTATGGTTTTTTGCCAAATAAAAATTATTTTTGAATTCCCCGTTCAATGTAAAACAAATGATCTCTCTTGAATTGCTTTCCTTCGATGCGCCATTTTTGAGTAAAAAAATAAAAACCGTTCTATTGTCCGAGAAAATTAATGTAATAATAATTAAAGAATGCAATTTAGCAATAAATATCCAGTTGCTCTGGAATATGTCACTGGCTTTTGACATCTGACAAGTCTCTGTTACTCAAATCTGTTCGCTGTGACATCGTTTTCATTATTTAGTTTTTTGTTAATTATAGATTGTTTATTTGTTAATAATGGTGAATTATTCAAATGCAGAAATGGCGGAAATGCATTACGTATATGGCCTTGCCGACGGTAATTGTGAGCAAGAAAGTCGGATTTATCACCAGAGATATCCCGATCGTGTTTTGCCAGATATTCGAACCTTTTCTAATATTCATCGTCGTCTGGTTGAAACTGGTTCAGTCCGAAAAGGAACATCTGAAGATAGACCTCTAAGTGTGAGAACACCTGAAATTGAGGAAGTGGTGCTGCAGGAAGTTGAAGAACATCCTGAAACGAGTACGAGGAAGATCGCTAGACACTAAATATTTGCCATCAAATTATTTGGAGAATTTTAGTAGATTTTTTGTTATATCCTTACCATATTTTAAAAGTACAGGCATTACTTCTCATTGTTTTTCCAAGGCGTGTGACCTTTTGTCAGTGGTATCTTCAAAAAATTACACAAAATCCGCAATTTGAATCAATGATTCTGTTCACGGACGAAGCTGTTTTTTCTCGAAATGCCATTCAGAATTTCCACAATAATCATTTGTGGGCAGAAGAAAATCCCTATGCCGTAACCGAAACCCATTTCCAACACCAATTTTCGGTTAACGTATGGGCAGGAAATATTGGCAACCACATTATTGGCCCATTCTTCTTGCCGGGACGACTTGACGGGACCTCAATTTTCTTCAACAATAGTTGCCTTTGCTGCTTGATGATGTTCCGTTAGTAATAACAAAACAATATGTGGTACATGTGTTTAATTTTTCCAATTAAATTAATAATAATTTTGCAAGTTAGACAATAGAACTGTTTTTATTTTTTTACTCAAAAATGGGGCATCGAAAGAGAACAATTCAAGACAGATCATGTTTTAAATTGAACGGGGAATTCAAAAATAATTTTTATTTGGCAAAAAACCATTTGCATACCATTTTTTTCTTGAAAAATATCGAAATCAATACCCGTACGCACGCCACTGTTAAAGCTAAAAATTATTTTGGCATCGAAAAATATGCAACTTAATTAACGTTCACTACGTACTAAATATCAGTGAAATATTTGAAGCGGTTCTGAAAATATTAATTAATTTCCATTTTTTCACTTTTTCACTTCAAAACCACGAGTTTTTGTAAGGAAACATTTCTGGACCATAGTTTATAAAGCAAACTGACATTAATTTTTCATGTAGATTCACCCTTAAATATTCGCATATCGTCTAAACTTCGGCGGCTAGTGTATAACATCGAATCTATTTGTCTCTAGTGATGGATTACGTTCCCGTCCTAGCTGCGAAGCATTAATACATAGAGGATGCAGGAGAAGATTTGCATTTTTTCGGCTCACCGCAAAACAACAGAGCCCATATCGCGTTTCATAAGCTGGGGGAGAGATAGATGGACGGCAGGTTATTCTTTCATGCTGGCCAGCAGTCAGAAACAAACGTAGGAAAAGCGAACAAAACCAACGCACTGACGTTTAACCGCTTTGTTTGTTCGCAGGGAAATATGATACAAAACGGAAAATGTTAATGGCGTAGGCGGCCGACCGAGCGGCCATTTGATAATGATAAGTGGGAGTGAGTTGTCAAAAATGCACGGACACGAATTACTAATTGTTGTTTTGTTGCCGTTTTGTAAAGTCTTTCGCAAAAAAAACTTCGAATGATCACGCAAGTTTCAAAAGAAACATGAAAGAGGCGCAATAAGCCTATTGCGACTTACGCCAGACTGCGGCAAAGTAAGTACGCTTAACTGTGTCAATTTGTTGTTCACATCAACTTATCTGGTCCAGGAAGCCATCTGCTCGAGAAATATTCTGGTTCGTTTTTTTTTGCATAATGACCTCTCTTAACGAGTATACATGTTACCCGATCCGAAAGTTATTAAAAAATTAGTTAGTCATTCTTTTAAATAAATTTCAAAACATTTTTTTCGCTTTTCAGGGTGTGTGGGTCATTGTGAGCAAAAAAGTTATCATGGAATTTTCTCTGACCTGCGAAATATGCCATTTTCGGCCCCAAAAAACGATATCAAAAAACAAAAATTTCAATATTGCCAAACTTCCTAAATATTCGATAAGCATCCACTAACAAAATTCCAAAGCACTTAAAGCAGTATTGTTTTAAATCACTGATCAACAGCCAAAAAATATCCTAAATAAAATCAACAAAATATTACTATTTTTAATGTGCTAAAACCGGAATGAAACTTATTTTTTCAATATTAGTTCAAGTTTTAGAGATACGGTAATATATGTGTTCCTGCTGTGAAAGTGTTAATATAATGTAATTCACAAGAATGCACGTGCAACATTTTTATATTCGGCAAGGAAAGATGATGTAATCAGCATGATTGTGTTACGTTATACATACGTGTACATTATATTGTTTTATATTAGCCATTTTTTCCTCAGTCGGCTGACAGCGTTCATGCAAGATGTCTCGAAAGTGTGTAAACAATCCAGATCAGTTTTGTTACGTGTGTGGTGATGTGACTTTTGCGTCTCAGAGACGGTCTATCACTCCACTAATAACAAAGACATATCAGCTTTATTTCGGTTGTAAACTAGGTGATCAAGACAAACAGTGGGCACTCCACATCTGCTGTAATACATGTGCTTCAAGTCTGAGGAGCTGGTTAAATGGCAAAAAATGGTCTATGCGCTTTGCTGTCTCAATGGTTTGGAGAGAGCCTACAAATCATATTAATGATTGTTACTTTTGCATGGTACCTTGTGTTGGACAAGCCACAGGTATGTCCAAGAATAAAAAATCGGTTATTAACTGCCCAAACATACCATCTGCGATGAGACCTGTACCTCACAGTGACGAAAATCCTATTCCAAAACCCCCAGAATCCTACACTTGCGAATCAGAAAACGAATCAGATCATGGCGATCGAGTGATTCGTCAGGAAGAAGATATGCCATCAACGTCAAGAGATCCTGATTTTATACCGAGCACGTCATGCCACCAACCGCACAAAATAACACAGTCAGAATTAAATGATCTTGTAAGAGATTTAGAACTTCCAAAATGTAAGGCAGAGTTACTTGGATCAAGACTGCAGCAGTGGAACTTGTTAGAAGACGATGTTTCGGTATGTGTTTTTCGTAAACGCCACAAAGACTTAGAACCATTTTTCAATATGGAGAATAAGTTGGTTTTCTGCAGTAACATTAACGGGTTACTGGCGGCTTTAAATATAAACTATAACCCAGAAGAATGGAGATTGTTTATAGACAGTTCAACATTGAGTTTAAAGGCAGTGTTATTGCACATTGGAAATATTTTACCATCTCTTCCTGTAGGGTATGCAGTTCACATGAAAGAATCATATGACAATATAAAGTACCTATTGACATGCATAAAATACGATGAGCACCAATGGCATATTTGTGGCGATTTTAAAGTTGTTGCACTTTTACTTGGGCTGCAGCTAGGCTACACAAAGTTTTGCTGTTTTTTGTGTGAATGGGACAGTCGGGCAAAGGCACTTCATTACACCAGACAAAACTGG